ATTGTGCCCAATAAGTATTAGCTTCTCTTTAGTATCACAATAGCATTTTTAAGTTTAAAAAATTTTTTTTATTGTGGTAAAAGTCACATAATATAAAACATACTATTTTAACCATATTTAACTGTACAGTTCAGTGGCTCTAAGTACATTCACATTGTTGTGCACCTTTCACCATCATCCATCTTCCATCTCCCAAATTTTTCACTTCCCTAAACTGGAACTCTGTCCCCATTAAACACTAACTCCCCCTCCCCCTCCCCACTCACCCCTACCTCCTGGGCCCTGACATCTACTAATGTACGTTCTGACTCTATGAATTTGTGTATTCTAGGCACCTCGTGTAAGTGGAATCAAACAGTATTTTCACCTAATGTGTACTGGAATGTATTTTAAAGGTTAGCTTAATATGTGTCCTACAAATAGATCGTGCCTTCTTTCCCCGCCCCCTGCCATGCTATTCAGTAGGTTCTCATTAGTTATCTCTCTTATGCTAAGTTGCTTCCATTGTGTCTGACTCTTTGTGACACTATGAACCATAGCCTGCCAGGCTCCTCTGTCCTTGGGATTCTCCAGGCATGAATACTGGAGTGGATTGTCCTGCCCTCCTCCAGAGGATCTTCCAAACCCAGGGATCGAACCCTGGTCTCTTACTTACATCTCCTGCATTGGCAGGTGGGTTCTTTACCACTGTCACCACCTGGGAAGCCCATAGTAATATATAATCATTCCCAGTCTGCCAATTCATCCCATCCTCTTTTCCCTCCCTTGGTGTCCATACATTTGTTCTCTACACCTGTGTGTCTATTTCTGCTATTTATTGTCAGTAATAATTTATTAGTAGTAATAAAAATTGCAGTGGCATGGTAGTTTATCAGTCCCATTTGCAATCTAAATGCATAACATATTTCTTGATTTCTAGATAATGTATTTTAACTGCAGTTTAATGATGTTGGAAAGATTTGGTTATGAATGCTTAATGTATCTTTAAAAAAACTCATTAATCATTACTAATTTTTAGATTTAAATTTTTGTAGTGATTTATGGTTTTCTGTGATTCTAAGTGTTACTCTTTTAGTGCATTGGGATTTCCATGGACTCTGACATATGGAGGTTGTTGTTGTTGGGACTTTTGATGGTCCTCTTGTCTCATCAGCGTCAGTCTGCCTAAGATGCCCTTTATTACTTTTACTTTTCTTCAGATTGAAGCAGTCCTCATGTTTTCCCCTGAAGCGTCCCTGGTACGGGAGGAGAGATGCTAAACGTTCCCATGAGATCGCTTGTATATTGAAATATTGGCAACAGCTTGACATTTCTTTCAAGTTGAGTATTCAATGGTCAGATTGTCCATTAATTGTTCATTCCAGGCCATTACAACTCAGATTTATTTTCCCAAGAGATGTCGCGCTTTATATTCCAGCAAGTAAAATGAATTCTCTTAGGCGTCTCTCCTTTCTGCCTTTCTCCCAAGACCTCTGTTGGAAGAGAATTTCTAAGTATACTCTTTAGAGATGCCCAGTTATAATACTCATTAAATCAATACTACACACTAGTATCTTTAATTGGCTTAGCTAAATGATCTAAATACCTAATATATCTTGTGGGAAATGATACACAGGGCAGAGCTATTTCAAGGGAAGAGATATGGTATAAGCTGTCTAGTAAGGAGGAGTTTGAGAGGGAGTGTGATGGAGTGGAGACGGGGTGCTAGTTGGTCAATAGAAATCACTGCACATAGAGTGGGAAGAAGTCAGCTCTGAAGAGGAATGACAAGATGGGGGTTGGTAGCAATAAACTTCACCCTCTTTACAGTTTGCCTGGAATGAGTCTTTTCTGCTTCTGCTTATTTAATCAAGAGGACTCAAGGAGTTTAATCACAGAACAGAAAGATGACCTCTCTGCTTTCTTCTTAAAAAAAAAAAAATTGAAAACAGCATTTTTACATCAGTATTTTAAGTGTAAATCTTAATAGTCTTTCATTTTTTTCTTGTTCTATTAGTTAATAGATTAATTTTTCTTTTGATTTTTTTTCCCTGCCTATATCATGTACCCAGGACGTGCTGTCTCTTAGTTATTCAGAGATGATGTCTTTGTGTTTTTGTGTACTGGCACAAACTGTCTTCTCCAACTGGCCTTTGCTTTCTAGAGAGAGTGACTTCTGTTTGCCAGAACTGACACAGTCTGGCTTTTAGGCCTGGATGCCGCTTCTGAGAACCGATGAGATGACATACTGGCTGATTAATTAGATGTGTTTCATAACCTGCTGCCAGAAAAGAGACATGAGAGCATTATGCATTAGTAGTATCAAGCTTGATATTTTTGCATATTTCACTGCTCTCTCGCAATTAGGAAAGATGCCAGCTTTGCTTTTGTCATGCTTTAAAACTGCTTGATGAAAATTTCAACACTAAGATAAAAGGCAGCACTTAAAGCTGATCCTCTGAGAATGAGTGTGGGTATAATCTGTTTATTAATATAGCTTGTTTTTTTAAAGGGATGTTTGCACTTGTAAAAGCAGTAGCAGTATACATATCTCAGTAAAAACAAACCCTTATGGATGTATTTTAAACAAGTTGGTAACATTTTATATAAAAATGTGCACAACATCAAGACATTTATTTAGTAGTGGTGGTGGTGGTGATTTAGTCACTAACTCGTGTCCAACTCTTGAGACCTCATGGACAGAGGAGCCTGACAGGCTACAGTCCGTGGGATTCTCCAGGCAAGAATACTGGATTGGGATGCCATTTCCCACTATTTAGTAGTTGACTATGTCAATTGCTTTTCATGTTGCCTAATAGCATATTTACTCACAAACAGCTTTTTAACATATTTTCTTTAATCTTTAAAACTATGAGGAAGGCAGAAGAATGTTTTCATCATTTTTACAAGAGATAAAATGGCACAGGGAGAAATTGTTGGAGCTAAAAGCACAACTAAGATCCTCTGACTTTTGTCTCTGCCAACATATCTTGGTATATCTTATCTTCCTGACTGTAGATCCCATCTCTCAGTTCTGTGACACCTGGGCAATGATTGTCTTTTTATCTGTCTTGTTTCCAAGGGTAACAGTACTGGGAGGCTTTAATGTGCTTTGTAGAGTGCACAGCTTGCCTTGAAGAGATGCCTTATCATGTAGTGGTTAAGAGTCAACTGCAGGACTTTATTTCAACCCTAGCTCTACCACTTAGCAGCTGTGTGACTCTGGGAATGAGGACCATTCTGGCCTCTGTTTTTTCACTCTAAACTTAAAGTAAGAAAAATGCCTATTTTGTGGGGATGTGGTGACAATTGAATAATGAGCATTTATAAAGCATGAAGAAGGATGCCCACAGAGAGCAAGCACTTTGTGTGTTATATGATTATTATTACTTAAGGACTGCATTGTCAAGGTGGATATGACCTTCTTTTTAACATTCAGAGGGGGCTTATTATTGTGTATACTCCCCAAGTTCTGTTGGTGTAGTGCATATTTTCCCCTTTTAAAGTCCCTCTATATCCTAAAGAGTGTTCAGTCTCTAGTCTAGTCTTAGTCTAAATTCTAAGTGTGGTATGTGAAATAGGGTAGGCTTCCCAGGAGGTGCTACTGGTAAAGAACCTGCCTGCCAATGCAGGAGACATAAGAGATGCAGGTTTGATCCCTGGGATGGAAAGATACCCTGGAGGAGGGTATGACAACCCACTCCATATCTTGCCTGGAGAATCCCATGGACAGAGGAGCCTGGTAGTCTACAGTCCATTGGGTTGCACAAAGTCAGAAACAACTGAATTTACTTAGCACACAGGCACACCATAATAAAAATATTAGGCAAAGCCTTACTTATTCATCCTATATGTTTAAAAGTGTTTTTTGAAGGATTGAGCTATTATGACATAAGATAGAACTGGCAAGTGGCTTGTACAGATTTCGAGGAAATACTCCCAAGAATTTTAAATACAAGCTTTCTCATATACCCTGAGCTGAAAGCCTTCATCAAATTAAAGAGAGCAAACAGCATATCATGCATAAAATAGATGACTTATCTTTTCTCGGAGTCTCTGCTTTACAGAGAAACTCTGCAGCAGCTCGTGTAACCTCCAGTTTCAAGGTCATGCTCTCAGGCATTGTCCTGAGAATGAAGTGGGGAGACAAAACTGCTTCCTCTCCTGTCTGTACCCTGTGGAGACATGTTCTGGCTTCCCCATACTTACTTCTTCAGCCCCCTGGACCAGCATCAGCATACATACTTGATCATCACAACAGTGAACTAAAATAAGAAAAAAGATAATGGGAAAAGATCACTCAGGCTCTGATATAACCAAAAATGGATGATTCCCTGTGATCCTGGTTTGCTTTTTTGTTTTGATCAACATACCAAGCCTCCAGAGCCTCTCCTCCATCAACGAGATGGGAACATTGTTTTGAGGATAATGGAAGAGATAGAAGGAATGCGGATAACCTGGAACTTAGACTGCAAACTGCAGTGATGATGCAATGTATTGAAAACAACAACAACAACAGCAGCAGCTCACCCAAGCATAAGGGTGTGTGATTTACTTTATGGAAGATTTTTTGCTTTGTAAGCCCTTGTACACCAAGGAGCTGATTTAATTTTTGGTTCTTTAAGGAAGAACTTCTTTCCTTGTTTTCTCCCAAGCTTAGGAATGCTGGGCTGGGTGGGACAGGAGTTGTAGCAACGTGCAAAGTCTCAAACCCTGATGATGGAAGGGCTGAGTGTCCTCCATACATTCAGAGGAGGGTGTTTGCTCCCACAGGAATCTCAAGGGGGCTGCCGGCAACCATGGAACCAATGGTGAAAGCTCAGGTTGAGGTCCTTGAGTTAAACTACAAAGACCCTCAGTGATGCAAGAGAAGAATGTGGCCTAAACCTGGCAAAAGTGGCCTCTCAAGTCCGAGTCTGTTTCCTCGCTGAGCAATAGCAGGAAGCATATAGAATGATGTCACTCGGGATCTTCCTGGAGCATAACTTTTTTCTTTGATGTTTATTTCTGCTTGTTTGTAGGGCCAGGGAGACCTGTTGAAGAATGCCAAGAATGAAGCCATAGAAAACATGAAGCAGATCCAGCTGGCGTGCTTGTCTTGTGGCCTCAGTAAAGCCCCCAGCAGTGGTGCCGAGGTGAAAAGTAAGCGCAGCCTGGAGGCCATAGAGGAGAAGGAGAGCTGTGAGGACAATGGGAAGCTGTGACCCCGAGCGGCAGCAATGCCTTCACCTCGCCTTCCTGCCTAGGACTCTGCTTTTCCCTCCTGATTTTCTTTCCTTAAGATTTTTAGAAGTTCACAAGAAGATGCCCTCTATGGGATATTGGACATAAACAGATATTTTCACAGCGTCAGTATTTTAATGTAGTTAATTTATCTAAGTTAAAACCTCTAGTAGCAGTGTTTTAAAATTCTGAGATGTGTGTACACACTCATGTATGGATGTGGGTGGAAGTGTGTGTATGTGTGTGTGTGAGAGAGTGAGAGACAGAGATAGAGAGATAGAGAGAGAGCAAAAGAGAAAGATTGAGGGAGAAAAATGGGAAGGGGGGGAGAGAGGTTGAGATTCTGTTAAAATCTATTCTGTGTTGCATTATTCATTTGGTTAAGTTATTACTTATTTTGGGACAAATTTGTTAATCTGAAATTCTAAAGAGCACTCACTATAACCTGTTGCTGTGTTTAATTTTACTTCTCTACCTTTGTAATTTAATTTAGAGATCTTAACATAGCTTATTGTGGAAGGAAGCCAAAGTTACCAATGCATAGATGTTTTAATAAATTAACTATAGACTAGACAAATTCCTAAGAATCACAGTAGAAATAAAAGTGAATGAAAGCTAAACAATTGATCAGAATTTCTGGAGGGTCAGTTAGTGAACTCTTTAAAATATTTATTAAATAAAATCAATTTTTAGAAAGCCTTTTGTAGTTTACTAAACAGATGTGATTTCAGTGGAAAAGTTGATCATAAGTGAATTTACACCCACCCATTCTGAAACACAGTGAGAATTCTGTTGTGATTAGAATTTTGATGTGACAACAATATTCGGTTATGAAATTTCAAGGTTGAGATTTGTAAGAATGTCTCATTCTTCCAAACTGGGGGTGTAGTGTTCATTTTCTCTAACAAACATGGGCAGAGAAGAGATCTTGGCTTTCATTGCATCTAATTTAGAGTACTAAATTTAAAGACATTGTCCAAACAATATCATAGAATCATCTTGAGATGATACAAATTCTGTGCATCAAATAACATTGTGATGATTTAAGGATTAACTGATTACAAAAATCTATTATATAATTTTAACACATGCAGAAAAACATACACGCAAAAAAAGCAAATGACTAATTTGGGTACATTTATAATTGCATCCAGATAATTTTTATCCTAGTATCTTCATAAAGTACTTGAGTATAATATGTTTGTTACCTCCAACAGAACTAAATGTTCTATGGTTATGAAAATTTATTTATTTAAAACATTGCTTTTATTTTGAAAAGCTTCTTAATTAATTTGGTTAACAAATATGCTAATTTGGGGGAAGCTAGGGAAGATCATTGTTGAAATTTTGCAAATATAAACATCTGTGGCTACTGTGTTAAGTTATTTCTGACTTCTTAACACTATTATGTTTATGTTGCACATTACTGAGAGAGTAAAGATATAAAACAACACTTTTATTGTTCTCTTTTATTGGAAATTAATTGAAAAAGGAGCAATAATGAAAATAAGTTATTATATCAAAAATATCTTACAGGATATACATCCAGGGACAAGATATGATGATATTTCTCCCCAGGTTTAAAACTGGGTGCTTAGAAAGCACACACGCTCATTTGAAGGTAGGTTTCCAATGGTATACAGTACCCAGAAAAAGTGTCCTTATCCTCCATTGTGAAAAATACTTACCCTGCACGGTCGTTACAAGGAATAGTGGAACACGGATATCTAAGTCCTTCATGATGAAAAAGAGGTGATACAGATCGAAACAAAACCTTCCTTACATCAGCCAATTGGTTGGTTTCACCTGTGGACTGCTTCACCTCCCTGAATTCCCTGTGGAAAAATCCATGCCTTTACCAGAGAGATGAGAAGACAAGCTAAAGGGTGGCAGACTTTCAAAGAATATTTATTCATGTATTTATTTTAGGGTCCAACCCAATCTTCAGAGCGGCTTCTCTAGTTTATTCCGTGTGTGCTGAGGCTCCACGCACACTTAGGCTCTACCCAGCTGCTCCTGAGAACGCGATGCGACTCTACCTCATGTGAGGCTACTTCTGTGGGAGCCAGCTCTTCTCCACTGTGTCGGGCTTCCCTGGTAGACAGGGAGTGACGTGTGGGGCCGGGAGTTGCAAGGGAAGAGGTCTTACCTCTTGATGGAATAACAAAAGCAAACATACCAGCCTTTCTTCATTATTGTTTCAAACTTGGACAGCAGTAGAAAAAGCCCCCTTCTCTTCACTTAGTTTTTGGGGATACTAGGAAGGCAGTGTGGAAGATATTAATTCTGCTTTTGTTTATTAATCTTTACATTACCCAGGGGATTTGAGGTAGAGATGGTAGGTATTATCATTGACATTTTTTGGTGAGAAAGCCCAAGGCCACTGATACATTAAATGAAAGAATTGACTTTCAATTCTGGTCTGTTTGATTTTATGTTCAAGAATATTTACTCAGTGATTTTGATTTTTTAATTCTCAAAAATTTAAACTAAACTATTAACTCTTTCCTTTATAATCATAAATGAAAAAAACTTCATGCTATTTTCTTACAGTAAAATATTAATGATCAATATAAAATGCAAAAATAAAGAAATGTATTAAAAAAATCTCCCAATATACCTTTAGATTTATACCACTTATACCCCTTAGACACTGTTTAGCATTTCTTTATGTCTATAAATATGCTTTCCATTTTAGCGAAAATGAGATCATATTATAGAAGCTGTTTTGTAACAAGCTTTTTGCAGCAATAAAAGCAATACATCCTGAATATCTTTCTGTGTCAACAATATGCATGTACATTGGTACTGTCAGCCTTTGAATTGAATCTAGTCCATACATGACATATTTTATTTGGTCACTGAATCTTTTTCAATTATTTTTAAACAATAGACAACTTTTAAACATGAGGAGATTTCACATAAAAATTTCAGTTTTTTATTTCACTTAAAATATTGGCTATGCTGACAACACTAGACCCTCCCTCACTTCTTACTTGGCATCAATTAATTGGAGTTGCCCTCTTCAAAAGGGGCACATGCTGTCTAGTCTGCCAGAGTCTCTTCACTCATTTATGTTACGTCTTGCCCCTGTGGTCATCTTAAGTGGCGAGCCTTGATCCACATCATTATTTATAATTGTGACATAGTGTCTTTGTATGTGGATTACCATAACATATTTCACCAATATCCTGTTGTTAGACTTTTATCTCCTAATTTATTATATGAGCATTGCAGTGATGAAAATCTATTTTTGCAAAGTTGTTTAGCTTTTTCTCTAGGATAAATTTCTAAAAGTGGAATTCTTGGTCAAGGAATAGATATATTTTTAGGGATTTTGTGATAATTGCCAGTTTCTGGAAAACTTATCCAATTTAATTTCCTATATAAGTTTATGAAAGTGTACAAATCTTGGCTAATATAAGATTTAATTTTTCTTATTTTCGTCTTTGCCAATCTACTACATTAAAAATCTTACTTCTCTTTATCTTTATTCTCTAGTGAGATTGAACACACTTTAATATGTTCATTGACTATAAACAATCTCATAGAGATTGTCTTTGTTTTTAAAGACAACTTTTGGGTGGACTGTTAAATTTTTATCTTTTATTATTTATTTTTAAGAGGCATTTACTTAATAAGAATCTTATCCCTGAGTTTGTTGTGTGTGTTGCTAATGTTTTTTGATATATAGATCCCTAATTTAATCCATGTTATGATTTTTTTTTCTTCATGTTTAATGTTAAAGACATTTTTGCCCCAGATGTTCATGAAGATATTCTTTAACCTGCTGGTAGCTTTTTTGGTTTACTTTTCACATTTAAATTTACAAGTCCCCTAAAATTGACTTTGGTGTAGAGCAGAAGGTAGAGGCCCAATTCCATCTTTCCCCAACATGGATAATGAATTGATTGGGTCCATTTATTAGAAAGACTGTCCTTTGCCCATGACTCTGTAGTGCCACCCTCATGAAAAGTGTAGTGCTCAAGTATGTGTCCGCCTCTTTACAGACTCTCTGTTCAGTTCCATGGCCTAAGTCTGTCCCGGCAACATTATTTTAATGTCTTCATTACTATAGTTTTACCATGTTTTGGTATCTGAGAGTGTAGGCTCCTTCTTTTCTTCTTCACCATTTTCTTGCTCTTTTCCATATAAATTGTAGAATCAGCTTATCAATTTCCATCAGACACTTCACGGAATTTTGGTTAGTATTCTACCGAATGTATGGGGGGGTCCCAACATATTTATGTTATTGATTAATCCAGTCCATTCTCATGGTGTATTTCTCCATTTTTAAGGTCTTATTTACTTTCTCTTTACTACATTGCTGTGTAAGGTTTTGGATGTCTTTAATTAGATTTATTCCTAGACATTTAATGTTTCTCTTGCTGTTAGAAATAATAACATTTTAAAATTCCAAATTGCTTATTTATGGTATATAGAAAATACAATAGATTGTTTTGTGACAGCCATATATAAAGTGAGCTTACCAAATGCATTTGTTAATTGTAATTACCTCTATTATCTTGGTTTTCATCCATATACAGTCATGTCATCTGAAAAAAATGACCGTTTTATTTTTTTGTTTCTGATTCTTTTATATGTGTTTTATTTGTTTTTCTTGCTTTGTTGAACCGGCTCACACCTTCAGGACAATATTCAGCAGAAGTGATACCAGTGAACATCCTTTCTCATTCCCAGTCTCAGGGGAAATTTTCCAATATCTCATCATTATGTATGATACATACAATAGATTTTGGTAGATTTTACTGGGAAATTAAAGTTTTTAGATGTAACTTTTGCCATTTATATAGAGATAAAAATACAGAAGTAAATTTTATGATCTTGGGTTAAGTTCACAAATTTTAGGTGTGACACCCACATATAAGTGAACAAAAGGAGAAATAAGATTGGACTTCATCAAAATTAAAACTTGTGTACTTAAAAGGACACCATCAATAAAGTGAAAAGACAATTCAAGAGTGAGTTTGCAAATTACATATCTGATAAAACTGGAATTAGAATATATAAAGAACAACTACAGCATAATAAAAAGACAAACTAATTTTTAAAATAGACGAAGGATCTGAATAGACATTTTTTTCAAAGAAGATGAAGATATTCAGCATCATTAACCATCACAAAAGTTTAAGTAAAAACCCACAAAGTCATACCATTTTATATCCACTGCTGTTGCTACTGCTTTTTGGTCACTAAGTTGCTAGAATAGCTATAATAACAAATGCAGTAACACATTTTAGTGAGGAGGTAGTAAAAGTTAGAACCATCGTACACTGCTGGTGGAAATGTAAAATGGTGCAGCTGCTTGGGACAACAGCTTGACATTTCATTGAAAGGTTAAACATAGTTACTACAGACCAGCAATTCTATTCCTAGGTATACACCTAAGAGAAATGAAAACATATGTTCACAAACAAAAGCTTGTACACAAATATTCATAGCAGCATTATTCATAATAGTAAAAAAATGGAAACAATTCAAATGTCCATCAACTGATGAAAGGATAAGCAAAAAAATATATCCATTCAAGGGATTCATTTCAGTTCAGTCACTCAGTGATGTCCAACTCTTTGCAATCCCATGGACCGCAGCAGGCCAGGCTTCCCTGTCCATCACCAACTCCCAGAGCTTGCTCAAACTCATGTCCATTGAGTCTGTGTTGCCATCCAACAATCTCATCCTGTGTTGTCCCCTTTTTTATATGAATTGTTAAATACAATGGATCATTTAATAATAAAAAGAAGTACCAATAAAGGCTACAACATGAATGAGTCTTAAAAAACATGCTAAGCAAAGAAGACCGGATATAAAGGCCATTTAATGTGTGTTTCCATTTATGTGAAATGTCTGTATTAGGCAAATCCATGGAAACAAAGTACTTTAGTGTTTGGCAGGGGCAGGGACAGGGTGGAGTGGGGAATGACTACTAAAGGATATGGTTTCTTTTTGGGGTGATAAAAATGTCTGGAATTAGATAGTGGTGATGTTTGCACAGCTTTGTGAATGTACTAAAAACTATTGTGCAGTTTAAAAGAATGAATTTTATGGTATGTAAATTATGAGTAAAATGATTATAAATAAAAGAAGCATAAAAGAACGTATATATTGAACCAAGCACCAGTAAGTAGTGAAATAACTCTGAGAAGTCTAATGTATCTGAAATTGGAGAGAAGGTGGGGGACAAAGTATTTGAGAAAGTAATGACTCAAAAAACTCTCATTTTTACTGAAAACTATAATGCCCCACATCCAAGAATCTTAAAAATGCCCCAAGGACCAGAGACAAAAAACAAAAAAGGCTCATCATAGTCATCAAATTGGTCAAATGTAGTGATAAGGAGAGAATTTTGAAAGTAGACAATGAAATAAGGCATGCATGTATGTTTGTCTCTTACTTGTGGTCAACTGTGGTCCCAAAATATGGAAAATTTCAGAAATAAAAATTCATAAGTTCTTTATTGTATGTTTTTCTGAGTAGTGTGATGGAATGTCCTGCTTCATCCTGCCGGGATCCTCCAACCGTTGATGTTGTATTGTCAGAAGGTTAGGAGTTGCCTAAGGCTGTGTCACAGAGCCTATGACATTCATTCACTTCATCTTTCTATGTAGGTGTTCTGGCGTTGCATGTCATCACAAGAAGGCTGAGTACAGTACAATGAGGTGTTTTGAGACAGAGCTCATATTCACATAACTTCATAATTGCTGTATTTTATTATTAGTTATTATTGCGAATCTCTCACTGTGCCTAATTTATGAATTAAACGTTATCATAGTTATGTATGTAGAGGGGAAAACAGGGCTGGGGAGGCAGCTCAGTGGTAGAGCATGTGCTTTGCATCATAAGGCCCTGGGTTCCATCCCTGGCATCTCTATGTCTTTCAATCAACTGTGTTAGTTTGTTGGGCTTCCCAGGTGGTGCTAGTGGTAAAAGCCAACGTGCAGGAGACGTAAGAGGTGCAGGTTTGATATCTGGGTCGGGAAGATCCCCTTGAGTAGGAAATGACAACCCACTCCAGTATTCTTGCCTGGAGAAAAGTCCATGGACAGAGGAGCCTGGTAGGCTATAGTCCAAAGGGTTGCAAAGAGTCAGACATGACTTGAGTGACTGAGCATGTGCACACACACTGTTAATCTTTTACTGAGCCTAATTTATAAATTAAACTTTACCATATGTATGTATGTATGTATAAGAAAAAACATGGCATATATAGAGTTTGGTATTGTCTGTGATTTCAGGCATCCACTAGGGGTCTTAAGACATATCAGTCATACTTATGAGGAATGTTTTATCTTGATAGTGGTAATCATTCCAGTGTCATACATATGTCAAAACTTAATCAAATTGTATGCATTAAGGGTGTGCAATTTATTGCATGGAATTATACCTCTGTATAATGAATTATACATGAATTATACCCAGGTGGCACAATGGAGGAGACGCAGGAAACGCGGGTTCGATCCCTGGGTCAGGAAGATTCCTTGGACTAGGAAATGACAACCCACTCCAGTATTCTTGCCTGGAGAATTCCTTAGACAGAGGAGCCTGGCGGGCTACAGTGCATGGGGTGGCAAAGAGTTGGACATGACTGAGTGACGGAACATACACACATACCTCAGTAAAGCTTTTAAAATACTCAGTAGTTTCCCTGCATTAATAATATTTTTGAAGCCGGTTTATTTTTTCACTTATAAGTAGACATTTCCTCTCCCTGAAAGTTTCTGGCTTTTCTTTTTCTTTGATGTACATGATATCACCTCTGTATATTTTCAAATAGTTAAGTTTTACTTTTATTTGGGGAATTGAGAGTTTACAGAGTTGGAGTGTTTTAGCTTAAAAAGCTTTCATTTTGTATTTTTCCTGTGTGTGTGTGTTTAGGGACATATTTGCTTTCATGTATCTGCTCTAGTTTTTTCAGGAACAGTAATTTGCTATACCGTCATTGGATCCTTTCCTTTATCTTCTCTGTAATCATGTTATTTTTCTGCATTTTCCTTTGTATTCTGGGAGGGTTTTTTTTTTTGTGACTTTACAACAAACATTCCATTTTATATGTTGTCAGTTTTGTTGTTTTATTATTTCATCACATTTTCATTTAAAATGTTTCTTCATTTTATCCAGCTTTTAATTTAAGTTCCCGCCTGCTTCTCGTCTATCTTCTGATCCTATCATTAAAGTTAATATTTACTGTGTCTTCTGTGTGGTGGCTTAGACAGTAAAGCGTCTGTCTGCAATGCGGGAGACCCAGGTTTTATCCCTGGGTCGGGAAGATCCCCTGGAGAAGGAAATGGTAACCCACTCCAGTACTCTTGCCTGGAAAATCCTATGGACAGAGGAGCCTGGTAGGCTACAGTCCATGGGGTCGCAAAGAGTTGGACACGACTGAGTGACTTGACTTGACTTTACTTCTGTGTGTCAAATACCACGCTATATGCTTACGTGCATAATCTCATTTAGTTCTCAAAATATCCTTAGAGATCAGTGTTATCACTTTGGAGATAGGGAAAGGGAAACTGAGGCTTAGAGAATGTGTATTGCTACAAACAGATCACCCAAAATATATTGGATTAAAAAATCAAGCCTGTTTATCTTGTTCGTAGATCTGCTGCTTAGGTAGGGTTTAACAGAGGTACCCAGCTCTGCTCCATTCCTGTAAGTTGGGATGATTTGAAGGCATGGGGCCAAAATCATTTGAAGACTTTTTCCTGCCCGTGGCTGGTCATGGATGTTGGCTGTTGACTGAGACTTTCACTGGCTATCTACAGGTTGTCTCTGCATTTGGCCTGGTGTTCCTCACAGAATGGCGGCTGGGTCTCAAGATTAAGTGTTCCTCGAGAGAGGGAGGCAGGCAGAGCTGTCACCTCACATGACTTAGCGTTGGAAGGCACACAGTGCCGCTTCTATCACATTACATCCTCTGACGCACACAAAGGCACGCCCAGGATCAAGGGGGGCTGGGAGGCATTTCTACTCTTACTGCGTGCATGCGTGTTCACCATGATGAAAATGATGTGAAGAAGTAGCTTCATTCATGTCTGACTCTCTGTGACCCTGTGTGCTGTAGCCCGCCAAGCTCTTGTGTTCATGGGTTTTTCCAGGCAAGAATACTGAAGTGGGCTCACATTTCCTCCTTCAGGGGATCATCCCACCCAGGCACTGAACCCTTGTCTCCTGCATTGCAGCTGATTCTGTACTGCTGAGCCACTGTGGAAGCCTGTATTGAAATGTGGTAAGGCTCTAAAAGACCATGTGAAACCAGAAATGTTACTCTTGTCAGTTTTGGAAACTTTAATCTTCCATAGAGAAATTATGTAATTTTCCCAAGGTCACTTGATAATAATGAAGCAAGTTTTCTTTGTTTTTATAAATATCATTTCTTCTTACAGTTGTACTGAGTATAAAAGAGATGCTATCTCAAATTTTCTTAAAAATTTATAAGTATGACTTTCCATAAGTCTTGTGCTGTGGTCATGTTCCTTTACCGGGTAGGAGCTTTTATTAGCATCTTTTATGTTACAAAATATTTTTTTAAATAAATTCATGCTTTGTAATATTTTAAGAAAATTTTCTTTCTTGAGAAATGACATGAGTTTGTTTTTGCTTTATTTCCTCTGTTTAGCTAGGATGTTTTTATTTTTATTTTTTATTTTTTTTAGCAAGAAAGTCTTTCTTTCTTTGATTGAAGTACAGTTGATTTACAATGTTGTGTTAATTTCTGGTGTACAGCAAAGTGACCCAGTTACGTATTTATATACATTCTCTTTTATATTCTTTTCCATTATGACTTCTTACAGCATACTGAATATAGTTCCTTGTGCTGTACAGCAGGACCGTGTTGTTGATCCATTCTACATATAATTTTTTTTTAGGATGTTTTTAAAACCATTAAAATTTAAATGAAGAACTGAATCTTTGATTATAAGCCATAGAATCTGATGCTACTTATTTAGTGATCTAGTCATCTCAGGGTTAAGGACTTTTGACTTAGCAAAGACTCAAATGTTCCAATTCCTAATAAAAAGACAACCTTGTAATGAAAGGGAATGATTTTACATGCTTTATTATTTGTATTCCCAAAAGATGTAGTATATTGTTTTGCAACATTCTCACATTTTATGATAGGTTTTATAATTCTCATTCATCTGGTGAAGACACCAGGGAATCTTTCTTTACCCAGGGGTCCCTAGAAGTTACACTTACTGGCTTCCAATTTGGTGACTTTTCATTTCATAGCTAGTTTTAGTACAATTTTGTCAACAAGGTAGAGGAAACCAGAATAGTAGGTCATCCAAAGTATGTTTAGGTTATAGTTTATTTAAGCTTAAACTCCCCAAAATTCCAAGGATACAATACTGAAAATTTCTTCATGTACTTTCATCATCGTGAACATGTTGCTGACATCCTGGTGGCATTAGCATAAATGTACTTCTAGACTCCAAAGTCCTTCTAAATTCTTTAAATTTATCTGGGCCCTATTTGGAATATATATTAGAATACATTAGAATATATATGAATATATATATATGTTTATTTGTAAAGTGGTAGATTGCTGCTGCTAAACTGACTCCTTAGTCTGCATTTGTCCATTTCCAAATATGCCATATAAATATTATCCTCTCTTCTGTAAAATCTTCTCAGAAATATAATGCATAAATGTTTAGATTTTAGGATTGCCAAAACAAACACATATATGACAGCTACTGGCACACTGCTTAATAATACTTTTTTATCTGTCTGTTATTTATGCAACCACAGATTTCAGCATTTCTCAACAAGGAATTCACAATTGCTTGATGGGTAAAATAAACCATTGACATAGGAAAGGATAACAATAGCTTTTATAAGAACCCTTTATAGCACTTCTTATCT